ATATAGGAAGACTAGAATGTTTCTACTCCGCTGGATTGTTAATGTTACTATCACAAAATTGAGTGTGGCTTTAGACTGCAACTCATATTGGTAGACAGGAGCTTTGCTGTATGAGAAGTTGTTAAAAAGAAAGAAAGGGGCGTGGCCCCGTGGTCTGGTGGTTAAGTTTGGCATGCTCTGCTTCAGTGGCCCAGGTTCGGTTCCTGGGCACGGACCTACACCATTTGTTGGCGGCCATGCTGTGGTGGTGACCCCATACAAAATAGAGGAAGATTGGCACAGATGTTAGCTCACGGTGAATCTTCCTCAGCAAAAGAAAAGAAAGAAAGAGAGGTTGGGGTGGCATAGTGGTTGAGTTTGCGTGCTCTGCTTTGGAGGCCCGCGGTTTGCGGGTTCGGATCCCGGTTGCAGACCTGCGCACCGCTCGTTAAACCGGCTGTGTCGGTGTCCCACTTACAAAATGGAGGAGGATGGGCACAGATGTTGGCTTATAGCCAATCTTGCTCAGCAAAAAAGAGGAACATTGGCAACAGATGTTAGCTGAGGGCCAATCTTTCTCACCAAAAAAAAAAGAAAGAGGAAAAAAAGAACGAAAAGCCGCAGTTAACATCAGGATCTCTACAGTGTATTCTTCAACCTTACAGAAGCACTAGATACAATATGTGGACTTCCTTGGACATTGAGCAAGTTTGGCTGCATTGAGGCATTCACTTGGAGCCTCAGGCTATACCACAATGGTCATGTTGGTCTCTTAAAGGTCAAAGATGTCTGCTGGAGCTATCGCCATACCTGCTGAAGGATATTTAGGTCTGACCTTCCATGCCTGTGTAGCCATGCTCAAGGATGTAACAAGCCGGTATTAGAATACCTAAAGCTGTCATTTAAGTTACTTTGGGTAAGTTTACTTGTGAAAAGGTGAACATCATCTAAAACCCTGACGTAGGCTCCTGAGAACTGTGCCGAATGCTGAGAACCAGCTTGCTTTCTTTGTAATACCGTTCCAACTCTTGAGTTCATGCACGGAAAGTCCAGTTGGAGATTACTGAACTACATGCTTTTTCAGCTTCCTCCAGGGTCCTCGAATGAAGTGGAGCATGAACATAGTGTGTGCAGATCCTTCCTGTTCTCTGTTGCTGCACTGTCTTACAGTCATACTTTTGTCTCTTGCTATTGACCTTTTTGATGTGCCCTACCAAAGCTTAGGCAGTAGATGTCTCCAGTCTCAGTGTCTTGGGACATCGCCAGCCTTCCAATATTAAATTGTTTGGAGTGATATCTAAGATGAACAAACAGAAAAAAAGTGATGGGAAATATAAGCAAGTTGCAAATGGTGAGCAAAATAGGGTGGGCAGTAAATAGAAGAACTCATACATAAATAAACTAGGACCTAATTTTAAATGATGAGATACAGATGTACAGACCTGGAAATCAGCAGCAGCAGATGATCCAGCCAGGTTTACAGCACTCAGAACTATTGTGGGATGTTTTTGAGATGAGAAACCAGGTGGCTTTTGAGACAAAATTCATGGTTCAAGAAGCAGCAAGCCCTACAAAGAAGCATCTTCAGACGTCAATAAAAATATACTTCATATTAGTGTAGTGTACAAAGGATCCTTCATTATGTTTCAATAATTTAAGTTCCAACTCTGATAGCAATGTTTTCAGCACCTGAAGGCACCTTTAAAACAAATATTGTCAATATGTTGCATTACTTGAGTACATGGCACAGTACCTATGAACAGTCAGTACATTTTAGTTCGAAGGTTATGATGGTCAATGGAAAAGGTCCAAGGAACAAGAGGAAGAAGTGTGTTTCACGTAGCCACTCAGGGGCCCTTGTGACCAGGCCTCTGTCTCTGTTGTAGACCTGAAGGCTGAAATTGACAAGTTGGCCACTGAGTATATGAGTAGCGCCCGCAGCCTGAGCTCCGAGGAAAAATTGGCCCTTCTCAAACAGATCCAGGAAGCCTATGGCAAGTGCAAGGAATTTGGTGACGACAAGGTGCAGCTTGCCATGCAGACCTATGAGATGGTATGGCCCTGTTCATGGCTCCCCACCTACCTCCCATCTATTCCTCGGGGTCTAGACCCCTCCTTCAGCTGTGTTGGGATCTGTTTTGGGTCTGGGAGATGCACAGAATCTGCGTTAGCCTGTTTTCTTTTACTGAAACCAGCTTTGTACCTCTTCCCTCTCCTTCCTTCCCACCCAGGTGGACAAACACATTCGGCGACTGGACACAGACCTGGCCCGTTTTGAGGCTGACTTGAAGGAGAAACAGATTGAGTCCAGTGACTATGACAGCTCTTCCAGCAAAGGCAAAAAGAGTGAGGAGGGGGGCGGGGCTGTGAGAGGTGGGGCGAAGTGGGGCGAGGATTCAGAGGGAGAAGAAGCTGGCTCTTCAGCCATGAGGGAGGGGCACCAGGTTGGAAGGAGGGGGAGGAAGGAGGACTTAACCCGTACTTCTGTCTCCCTGCCTCTGGCTTTCCCCCTTGTCCTAGAAGGCCGGACTCAAAAGGAGAAGAAAGCCGCCCGTGCTCGTTCCAAAGGGAAAAACTCAGATGAAGAAGCCCCCAAGGCTGCCCAGAAGAAGTTAAAACTTGTGCGCACGTGAGTGTATCAGGGAGCACTTTGCCAAATGACATACTTTCCTCTCCCGCCGCCCCACTCCCACCCCGCACTGCCCCTTGCCACTTTATCTTCTGTGCCAGTAACTCTTCTCCTTATCATGTTGGTATCTGCTGGAGAGAGAGGAGAAGCCACACATCACTTGCCCCACCAGGATCTCCTACCACCTCGGAGAGTCTCAAGTTGTAGCTTCCCTTCCTGCAGATGACACTTTCTCTTCCTCTTGGAACGCAGAAGTCCTGAGTATGGGATGCCCTCAGTGACCTTTGGCAGTGTCCACCCCTCTGATGTGTTGGATATGCCTGTGGATCCCAACGAACCCACCTATTGCCTTTGTCACCAGGTCTCCTATGGAGAGATGATTGGCTGTGACAACCCTGATGTGAGAACCATTTTGCCTCAGGATGGGGAGTTCTGGGGGACGTGAAGGGAGTAGGTACAAGAGGGGGGAAAATGATTGAATAGTGGGACTTCAGGATAGGAGGAAGGTGGTTGGAGTCGGTTGGCCTTGGGACTTCTAAGAATTCTTCAAAGGGACAGAATAAGAGAATACTCCTAAGGAATCTATAGGGAGGCTTCTTTTCTTTCCTCTGCCCCACACTGATGCCTGACTTCTGCTTCTTCTACCTTCTTTTCTAGTGTTCCATCGAGTGGTTCCACTTTGCCTGTGTGGGGCTGACAACCAAGCCTCGGGGGAAGTGGTGAGTGAGAGAGTTGTGGTAGGAGCTGCACTGCCCCTCAGCTGAGTGGTAGAGGGCATTCTCCCTTTCACCCACTTTCTCCCTCCCCTTCTCTATCCTGTTCCTTTTTAGGTTTTGCCCACGCTGCTCCCAAGAACGAAAGAAGAAATAGATAAGGGCCTTGGATTCCAACAGAGTTTCTTCCACATCCCCTGACCTGGGCTAGTGGGGAGCAGAATGCCTGTGCTGGGGCCAGGGGGTTCAGGGAGAAGTGGATGGTGCAGGTTGTCACCCCTTCTCCTCCCCTCTCCCCACTCCTGGTGCTGAGGCTGCATCCATACCCTGGTAGGGAGGGGTGCCACAGCCGTAATGGTATGTGCTCTCATTCAGCCCGCCCCCTTCAGAGGGAAGTGGTCTTGCCCACTGTCCTTTTGCCTCCATGCTGAGGTTGGTGCTGTATTTCCGAGGGATGGTCCTCTGTACTCCCCTTGCTTTGTATTTAAGGACTGGGGCAGAAGCATAGGGGCACTCCCCCAGCCCTCCTAATTCCCTCCCCCGTGGGGGGCTATGGTGTAATAAACTTTCTTAATTCTCTTCCTGCTTTTTCCATGGTGGGGGCTCCCGCACATCATCTGGGCTGTGGCCCTGGTTGAAGGGGCACCCCTTCCTCTGTGCCAAGAGGATTCATCCTGGCCTTGTGAATGGGAGAGAGGGGGCAAGGTGGAATGCAGAAAACTCACATGTAAAAGAATTTGGGTAGGTGAATAAAAGCTATACATGTTGGTCTGCTGTGTTTATTGTAGAGACACTCTTTTAGTACCTGTGCTAAGCATTTTTTGCATCCTCTGGGTTGGATAAGAAGTGGGAGGATGACATGCCAGAAGTAGGACAAGACATGGAACTAGAAGTGGTACCTCTGCACCAGAATCTACAGCTTCTCAACTTGGGAAGGACGAAGCTGGCTGGCGGGGGTGTGCCTCAGACCAGAAGTTGCCAAAACTTTTAGAATTGTGCATCGCATCTTTTCTCCATAAAACGTATTCCACTTAATTTCTAATAAATGTGTTTTGTGTTTTGTATATGTACTATTACCTTAAATATTAACTTGATATATCTTAAACACAAAATAGAAAAACAAATATTTCCCCTACTCCAATGGATTGTCTTGCTCACCTCCCAATTGGAAACCACTTCCTTAGCTGAGCCATCCTTACACAAGCTTCTCCTCACCTGAACCCTGCTCTTGTTTCCCCTTCTGGCTCCTTTCTTAGCTGGAAGCTTGCTTTCCAGTTCCTACCCAGATGGGCCCTGACTTTGTTTTGTAGTTCCACTTCCGCCTGCCACAGAACCCCGCCTGTACTCACATCTAGGCCTCACCACCTGTTGGGCAAATTGTTTCTGGAAACCCCAGTCTCCTCCTCTGTAAAATAGGATAATGATAGTATCCCCTTTATGGGATTACCCTGGAAATGAAATAAGGTAATAGAAACAACACAAGACCTACTCCATCAAAGGTCCTGAGTCAACGATAACCTTTGCCATCGTCATCCTCCCTAGGTGGACTGTGACACACACGAGGACCCATACAGAGCCCGCGCCCGTTCCCGAGGCCCCGCCCCTCCGGCCCCGCGGGCCGCCCCCGACCCTTTGTGACGTCCGGGCCGCACCTGCTACTCCCTGTTTGTCGCCCGCGCCCCACCAGTCCTCTGGCTTGTCCGTTAGAGGCCGTTTCGGTCCGGGAAACGCGGGCGGATCGCCTGGGGCCATGAGGAAGCCGGCCGCTGGCTTCCTGGTCTCGCTCCTGAAGGGTGAGAGGGCCCCGCCTACTTAGTCTTCC